ATCGAAGAATATCCGTCAACCAGCTGATTCAGAAAGAGAAATGCAGGCGGAAATTAGGCTAAATTATTAATGCAAGTATTGTCTCTGAGTGGATGGCTTATTTTCAGCTTCCTTTTCGGATTCTCTATCACAATTCAATGGAATCTAGAGGAGGCAAAAACGTAGTGCGACATTCTGGATTCTTAGACAACTGTGAAATGAACACTAATGGCAAATGCGCCTACAATGTTTTATTTTGTGGAACGCAAGCACACGTTATAGAGGTACTAATGACGACTTAAAAGTGTAGCTCCAGGGCGCTACCTGAAAACAAGGCAATATATGACCCAGTAAAAGGTTTATTTGTGTTAAAAGCAGTCGGTTCGGTAGGCATGTAAACGGAACACAAGGATGAACTTTGGAGTTGTAAGCACTAGATTCCCGTCTTCGGATAAAGAGGGACGCATAGTGACTGTATAGTATATTTCAAATGCAATGTTTCCAAAAAAGTGTAGAAGAAGATCAGAAAATGCTGATTACTGGAAAATGATGTCACTTTGCCGATCACGATGCTCTACGCCGTCGAGGAGTGCCGATCAGGTTCCTCCTGTGTTGAACTGAGAAATACGGAAGGAGAATGCATAATGACCACCAGTGGATGCCGTTTGCCAAGTGCTGATCACTTCTACCACTATATCAGCTTGATTGGCAATACTAGCCAAAAAAGTTCTAAATGCATACTTCTCTGACCAAGCTAAACAAAGAGCGCATTAAATTTATTGCTTACTGTGACCTAGCCATGTAGAATTAATGGTAGTATCCTGCAGTTATTCTAAAGAAAATGGAGCACTTCTTGTTCAGTGTAGCGTTGGACGTATGCCTAGCAGGAGTGGATGCAAATGCTTTCGATGTTATGTTGACCGCTAAAAAGTGAATGAGCAGGAAAGTCGATGCGAGTACGGTACAGCTCCAACATTAAAAATCACAGACTTCTTTAGCCTTAACCTTAAGGCATTGTTTGTAGGAACACATTTCCATTTTGGTTCCTTTTGACCAACCCTATCGTTGCCTGAATCGGAGGCAGTGTCAGACTCATGGACCGAGACGAATGAAACTCCCTGAACATCGATGTCATCGTTTGTCTCTCGGTTTTACCAACTGACTGTCGGTTACCCAAACAGGATCTTAAATACATGTAATTACGATCTTTTGACCACAGATAGAAAAAGGGGCTGTCACAGCCCTAATGTCACTGGACTACAGTGAACATTCGTTCATGGCATGCATCTGATTGGACGATCAACAGCTGTGAGTTGAAGTCAAACTGTGTTGCCAAGACAGTCAGTTGAACAAGTTATTGCTTAACCTTGTCAAGTTGACATGTTAACACTCGGTATTTCTGCTCCAAACATTAGCCCTGTTCAAGCTGATTTGAGGAATCCTCCGATGATTCCAGCTAAATAGTCTATTTGCAATTTGATTTCTTTCCTGTCATAACATACACGGAGAATATAAGATGCGGTGCTATCATAGAATTACTTCAACTCTTCCCTAACGCCGCCTCATAAGGATGCTACATTAATTTGCAGCTTCAGACATATATTTCACATTTACTTTAACGAGCTGTAGGCTTGAGTTACACGAAAGGCTTAAAATCGGTCTTTCAGGTCGATTTTTGTATTAGTAATCGGCACTCACAAAAGTGTGGTAGAGATCCAGGACATTTAACCATTTACCACTAATCAAGGATTATTAACGACTCATCTATTTCAATCACGTCTAATTCCGTTACATTTACGGCATCCGTCTGACGACTTTAGTCAGGTATTATACATAATATGAATGGTACTGACCTAAGGCCTAATAACACTACAAATGTTTGATTCTCGGGATCTTCCAGCCCACATGCATTTTTTACAAATCAGCAAAGCCATCCAGAGTCTACTGGGAATCAGATGCCGTGAGAAGGGCTATGGACGAGTTAAAGTATTATTCCGATTATTGCGATTTGATCTGCTGCAGATTGCAGTCAAAAGGCGTTAGTTGAAGAGAATGGTTTGGAGAAATTGCTTTGATGTTACTCAGGATGCAAAACCTGCAAAACTTTGCGCTGAATTAACATAATTTTAATATTATTAGTCTGCATTTGTTTTTGAAAACATTTTCGCCATCCCCGCTAAAAATAGCTTTTAAATTTCAACTTAATCTCAGTTAGTAATGTATCGTCAAAGCTTTATTTCCATTCCCTTTCATTGTTTCCCTTTTCAGTATCGATAACAAGTATAATTAAAGATCTCATATTGTTTCAAATTCATGCCACCTTTGAGAATATTTGCACACAGGTGCAAATGCCACTGAAGGCTAGCCGTCGAATAACATCTAGCGCTAACACCATCCTCTCAGCCAATCGCAACATTTTTGCGCATAGAATCGGGCAAAACTCTCTCTACTGATTGGCTGGTGATGAACCGCGCAAAAACCACAAAACTTAGTGACTAGAGCTCCAACAAAAGGACACGGTATGCTGATTTGTCACAGTAACCGGCGCCTTGTCAAATAAACAGTCTCATGAAGGCAACCCTGCATTTGAAGTACTTCTAAGAAAAGGAAATAAATTTATTAAAAAGAAGGTCGACTGCTATCTTAGCCCTTTGTAGTGTGTATTTACACGAGAGATGAATGACAGTTTCTTTCCTTACAGCAAACTACAATACAAAAATTACCTTATTCTAGAGGTAATGCTACTCGAAACTTGAGAACAGGAAAGGGGCATCGACGTGAAGTCTAGGAATCAAGTTACTGGTTTCTCTCTCGTACACATAAGAAGCACTTGACATTGGGCAGTGACGAGTTTCCAATTTCGGATGCACCCAATAGGGACAAATAAATGCAAAAAGATTTAAACCTTACCACAATGATTAAGTAATGGCAGTCTCAGAACAATTTCTGCTTCATGAGACACGCAGCTGCGGTAAACCACGCTTTTATGAAAAGCGTTGCCGTATGCAACGGTGTAGATGGTTAAGTCTCGGTTCTGGTGAGTTAAGAATCAGTCATGAAGGACTGGAGTCTCAGGAAGTGAGATCTCCGATGCAGGCGATGTGTACACAGCATTCGCATAGAGTATGCGCAAGTGCTAACTGCCAAGATTGCAAAGGCTTAAAACTCACTTTGGTCATCACTCTGATGCATTTGTATCACCCGGAATGATCGTGATTTATTAATGAGTACTGGTGTGCATAAGTTTTGTCTCAATGCGCTGTTTATTGACGAGAAGGGCTTTACGTAATGCAAATAAAGCAATTTCTCAAATGCTCTAAAATCCAATCCAATTTCTGGAGTTGCATATGTCGCCTGAAATTTTTACCTTTAAAAGACGAGAAAAAACTCACGTCTTCCTACTTACGCCTCCACATCGCCCTAATTTTTGAATACCTAATCACTTCTTCTGTATAATTATGTGTAGCCAAGCTTACGTCCAAATGTGATATTTTGTTAGAGAAATATGGGCGAATGAGAGGTCGAAGTGGTGCCGCCCTTCATTCGATCCCATATTCCAGTCTAGGCCTTCTCACTGATGATGGAAAACCAGAGGTCACGGCCAGGATGCGAAAAAAACAACCACACAGAGGTCATGCTTGATGAATCTGCGCTTATTTTACCGAAAATTATGAGAGCATTACCCCATCAAATGCCTAATGCCACGTCCGGCGACAGAGACTTCTGCATCGCTTTCATCTCTACCAGTTAGAATGGTTGTCTGCACCACCGCCGCATTGCAAGTCACCGCCTTCCTTAAATTAATAAACTTGTTCCACTTATAGCCAATGCAGAGGCCTCACATCTTTGGCTAATTGGCCGTGTGCTTCGATCCACCCACCATTGCTAACTCCCAAACAGCACCTATGCCTGACCTCCTGTCACGCACCACCTTCTTCACTGGAGCTAGTGTCCAGTGGAAGAGATACCAGTTGGGGCCCTTCAACAGAGCTTCTCTCTCCATTTGTTCTAGCGCTTTAACTAATCGGTCAGGGAAATCAATTCACCAGCACTAAAGACAGGGAAGTTGAGAGGGGAATAGACTGCTATGATCAGTACAGTAATAGCAGCTGCAATTTACCAAGTAAATGCAAGCTATGATCAAGTAAAATCGGATCACATGGTTTTGCACCATCTTCCATAATTCCTTTAAATACTGAAAAACTGCATCATTAAGGTCCATCATGTTGCTAATACGTTAAGGAGCCTTTACTACTGCCCATTAGATCTCATGAATCACAGTGGGAACATCCTAACTGGTTTAAGCTCACGATAAAGACAGAACAATGAACTAAGCGGCATAACAATCCCCATGGATGACCGGATTTGCTATATTTGCTGACTTCGACTTAGAAATTACACATAGACAAACACAGACAAAACTTGCAGTCAGATGGCCAAGGAGCTTAAGTTCAACGTCTGCTAATTGTTTGCGAAATGCACAAGCCCGATCCACAGTCAGCAGACTTAAATGACATTTTGTAATAAGAGGCTTCGGAATAGGAAAGTGGTAAGTGCCGCACACTCAAGGACACTTGATCCTCTCTACAAG